AATAAAAAAGAAGAAAGATACGAACAGGTTATTCATAGAAAAATACAAATGACTAATAAAGATCCTCAAACTCATCAGTGATCTGAGAAATGCAAATTAAAAAGAGAAACACTTTCACCTATCAGCTGATCAAACCTTAAAAATCTTAATGAAAGCCAGTGTGCTCATAGGAGGTGAAGAAAGTTAACTCTCACACCTGTTGGTGAAGCATTTTGAGAGAACAATTCAATGGTGTCCATTGACATTTCATGTAAACATATCCGTCGTCTTGGCAATTCCACTTCAAGAAATCTACACAGATATCACTTACGCAAATGGTCAAAGTATGTGAGAAACTTGATAGGGATTGGTTAAGTAAAGGGTGACTACTCTGTGGAATGTTAAGCAACTGTTAAAAGAAGGGAGTTGACCGGTATGTCCCAACATGGAATGATGTCCATGATATAGTATGACTTACAAGGTCAACCTGTGGGACAGTGTGTAGCATGAGACACATATATATACGTATATATACAGCTCTCTTGTGCATATCTATGAGTATCTATGTGACATATATGTGTGAATATATCCAGATCTCTATATACAATATATATCTGTATATACACGTATCTCTCACTATATATTGAGATATATATTATATACCAATGTATACATATCTCTCATGCTACCTAACATATAGTATACATATCAGTATATAGTGTATATATTGTGTATATATATCTATATGTATATATCTATATACTATATAAATATCTATATCTCCATCTATCCATCTATCTGCCTGTATATCTAGCTATCTGCTTATCTATTTATCTATCTATCTGCCTATCTATCTATCTATCCATCTATCTATCTATCTGCCTATATTTCTATCTATCTACCATCTATCTATCTACCTACCTGCCTATCTATCTATCTACCTGCCTATCTATCTATCTGTCTGCCTATGTTTGTATCTATCTATCTACCTATCTGCCTATCTATCTATCTATCTGTCTGCCTCTCTACCTGCCTATCTATCTGCCTATCTTTCTATCATCTATCTGCCTATTTCTATCTATCTACTATCTATCTATCTACCTGCCTATCTATCTATCTATCTGCCTATCTTTCTCTCTCTCTCTCTCTCTCTCTCTCTCTATCTGCCTGCCTATCTATCTATCTATCTATCTACTTTCCTATCTGGCTTGTATAGCATAAAGGTAATGAGCACAGGCTATGGGTTTGAATCCTGGCCCTGCCACATACTAGGAGGGTGATCTTGGGAGACTCATTTCAGTTCTCTGTGTCTCAGTGTCCTCCTAATAATAAGAATTAGTGTGGTGGGAGAGAGATCCAAGATGGCTGATCACTAGCAGCTCGGGAATATAGCTCCCACTAAAAGAGCAGAGAACGAGAGGACGCCACACTTTCAGATCAATTTTTGTTGCTCACCCACCGGGAGATTCCCAGCGGAGGAGCCCCACGTGTCGCCAGCGCGACTCTTGAGGCCGCTGAGGCAGTTTTGCTGCTGCCTTGGAGCGGCGGTTCTTGGTGCAGGGTCAGAAAAGCACCATCAATCTTAACGCCGCTGTTTTGGCCGGTGCAGTGGGTTGCTCAGATTCTAGCGCCGGGAATCAACAAGTTGGACATCCATTCAGAAACCCAACTATAAAGACGGTAATTATAAAGACCACAGATGGATAAATCTATAAAGTAGGGAAGAAAACAGCCTAAAAAGGCTGAGAATACCCAAACTCAGAACGCCTCTCCCTCTACAGGGGATCACAGTTCCTCATCAGCAACAGAACAAGGCCTGATGGAGAAAGACTGTGTTCCATTAGCAGAAACAGGCTTTAAAAAGTGGATGATAAGAAACTTCTGGGAATTAAAAGAACTTGTTCTAACCCAATGCAAAGAAACTAACAACTTTGGCCGGGCGCGGTGGCTCAAGCCTGTAATCCCAGCACTGTGGGAGGCCGAGGCGGGTGGATCACGAGGTCAAGAGATCGAGACCATCCTGGTCAACATGGTGAAACCCCGTCTCTACTAAAAATACAAAAAATTAGCTGGGCATGGTGGCGCGTGCCTGTAATCCCAGCGACTCAGGAGGCTGAGGCAGGAGAATTGCCTGAACCCGGGAGGCGGAGGTTGCGGTGAGCCGAGATCGCGCCATTGCACTCCAGCCTGGGTAACAAGAGCGAAACTCCGACTCAAAAAAAAAAAAAAAAAAAGAAACTAACAACTTTGAAAAAAGGTTTGATGAAATGTTAAAAATAACACACAATTTAGAGAGGAGTATAAGTGAATTAATGGAGCTGAAAAATACAACACGAGAACTTCGCGAAGTATGCACAAGTTTTAACAGCGGAATTGATCAAGCAGAAGAAAAGATATTAGAGGTTGAAGACAAAATTCATGAAATAAAACAAAAAGACAAGATTAGAGAAAAAAGGATAAAAAAGAACGAGCAAAGTCTCCAAGAAATATGGGACTATGTGAAAAGACCTAATCTACGTTTGATAGGTGTACCTGAATGTGACGAAGAGAATCAATCCAAGCTGGAAAATACGCTTCAGGATGTTATTCAGGAAAACTTTCCCAACCTAGCAAGGCAGGACAATATTCAACTCCAGGTAATACACAGAACACCACAAAGATATTCCTCAAGCAGACCAACCTCAAGGCACATAATCGCCAGATTCACCAGGGTTAAAATGAAAAAGAAAATACTGAGGGCAGCCAGAGACAAAGGTCAGGTTACCCATAAAGGGAAGCCCATCAGACTCACAGCAGATCTCTCAGCAGAAACCCTACAATACAGAAGAGAGTGGGGGCTGATATTCAACATCCTTAAAGAAAAGAACTTTCAACCCAGAATTTTACATCCAGCCAAACTAAGCTTCATAAGCGAAGGAAAAATAAAATCTTTTGTGAACAAGCAAGCACTCAGAGATTTCATCACCACCAGGCCTGCTTTACAAGAGCTTCTGAAAGAACCACTACAAATAGAAAGGAACAACCAGTATCAGCCTTTCTAAAAAATGCCAAAAAATAAAGAACATCAAAATAATTAAGAAATTGCATCAATTAATGGGCAAAACAGCCAGCCAACATTAAATGACAGCATCAAACTCATATATATTGTTATTAATTCTAAATTTAAATTGACTAAATCCCCCAATCCAAAGACACAGACAGGCAAAAAAAAAAGCCAAGACCCATTGGTATGCTACATCTAGATCCATCTTACATGCAAGGATACACAATGACTCAAAACAAAGGGATGGAGAAAAATTTACCAACCAAATGGAGAGCAAAAATAAATAAATAGAAAGCAGGAGTTGCAAATTTTGCTGATAAAATACACTTCAAAGCAACAAAGATCAAAAGAAGCAAAGAAGGATATTACATAAAGATAAAAGGATCAATGTAACAAGAAGAGCTAAAGATCCTAAATATATATGCACCCAATACAGAAATACCCAGATATATAAGACTTATAAAGAGACTTGGACCCCCACACAATAATAGCGGGAGACTTCAACATCAATATTAGATAGATCAATGAGACAGAAAGTTAACATCGATATCCAGGACTTGAACTCAGATCCGGAACAAGTAGACTTAATTAACATTCATAGAACTCTCCACTTTAAATACACAAAATATACACTCTTATCAGTACTACATCACACGTATTTACAGGTTTAAATGAAATATTGGTTGGCTGCTTGTTAATTATTTTCTCCCCCCCCCCTTTTTTTTTATGTCTCTATTATTAAACACAATTACAGGCATACCCATTTTTGGACTGCATTTTAGCCCAGGCAATAAAGCAACACCCCTGTTCTCTCTCCCTCTTCCTCTTCCTCTTTCTTCCTTTCCTTTATTCTTTTTTTTTTTTTTCTTTTTCTTTCTTTCTCTCTTTCTTCCTAAAAAAAAAAAAAATTAGTGAGTTAACATACATCAAGCATCTAGAATAGGGGCTGGCACACAGTAAACGCTATAGCAGCGTTAGCTACATAATAATAGAATTCCATGTGCCCTCAAGTATCAAGAGTGCTCACTTTGAAGAGTGCATAGAGGTGGAGACCTGCACTTTCTTTGTAACTCTGTGAGAGCCTGCATTACTTTCAACGTTTAAGAACAGTGAAATGAAATTACTGGCTGGGCACGGTGGCTCACTTTGGGAGGCCAAGGTGGGTGGATCACTTGAGGTCAGGAGTTCAAGAACAGCCTGGCCAACATGGCGAAACCCTGTCTCTAATAAAAATACAAAAACTTAGCCAGGCCTGGTGGTGTGCGCCTATAATGCTAGCTACTCAGGAGGCTGAGGCAGGAGGATTGCTTGAACCTGGGAGGTGGAGGCTGCAGTGAGCCGAGATTATGCCACTGCGCTCCAGCCTGGGCAACAGAGTGAGACTCCATCTCGAACAAAAAGAAAAGGACTTCTAACTGCTGGAGATGTGTGTATTGTCTAAGAAAAATGGTCTAGAAGGTCTTTTTGAAGAATTAACTTGGCATCCACAATTGAAACTGCCTCCCTAAGAGGGAGGCCCTCCATTTTACTGACAAACTTAGGGTGGATCCGGGTCTGAAACAAGTGGATCACACAGGATGGCTCTTTCGCTTCAGGACGTAGAGAACGGCATGTAAGAACTAACCCAAAGCTGCTGTCATTACTCACATTCCCTGAGGGGAAAGCAGGCATGTCTTCTGTCTGAACTCTGCAGGCCTAACCCACCAGTTCTCAAGCTCCTGTGCACGACCCATGGTAGCTGGACACGAATATCCCATGGCCTCTTGGCTCCCCACTGCCACCACTTCTGTTTCCTGCAAGTCTTCTCGTTAATTAGTCTTTCTTCCCAATGGTTCTTGAGAACATTGACCCTGACACTCCCGTGTGGACACAGAGGTGGCTCAGGCTTCCCCAGTCCTCCCTGCACTATCAGTTTTCAGTTTGCTCTAAAAACTGAAAATGAATGAAAACAGAGGAGTGGAAAGGGTGAGAATCTTACCTGGAAGGCTTTGTGTTAGGTTCCTTAATAAAGGAGGGCAAGGCGAAGAGAAAGACGGCCAGGGCAGCCAGGAGCAAGGACCACTGGATGCCTTGCCTCGGGTGGCTGCATCTCCACAGGAAGGACCTCATGGTGGTGGGTTGGGCTCTAGAGGCAGGTTCTGCATGTCCTGGGGCCTTGATGTGGGCAGCAGAGAGACTTACCGCTCGGGTTTGCCCGAGGGAAGTGCACACCTTTTGTGCTAACAATGAGCCACTCCTGCGAGTGCTGAGTTTATCAGTCTCTGCCAGGGGAGGGAGGATCCGCCTTCACTGCTTTATGAAGGCTTATAGGCTGGCATGGCTTGAAGGGAGGGAAACTCCTGTTGTTCAAACACTTTCGTTTTTCTCCCTTTGTCTCTGAAGCCAATATCTGAATGTCAAGCTTTATGAGAAATATAACCACATTATATGCAATCTCGGTAAGGTTTCTTAACCTATCTGCCTCCATATACATGGAAAAAGCAGTTGTCTACCTTGTGGGATTATCGTGAAGACACCACGTTCAACACTTCAGCTCAACCTTTCCTCCTTCTCATCTGAAATCGAGACCATTTTAACAATGACCAGCACGTGGGAGGGCTCACTCTGAGCAGGGCACTGGGGAGTCTTCGTAGGCACTTGTGGAACCCTCACAGCCACTCTAGGGGCTGGGTACTGTCATCAGCCCCATGATCCAGTGGAGGAAACTGCCTCCAAGAACAAGCTGCCAGCCCAAGATCACGCGGTCAGCCACTGGTTTGGGGGTCCAGACCCAACTGACTTAGACATTGCTTTTTTTTTTTTTTTTTTCCAGAAATAGAGATGGGTCCCAGTATGTTGTTCAGGCTGGTCTCAAACTCCTGAACCTAAGTGATGCTCCCACCTCAGCCTCCCAAAGTGCTGGGATCACAGGCATCGGCCACCACGCCTGGCCATGATGTTTTTGTTGTTGTCGTCCCAGGTTTATTGAAAATAATAATGCAGAAAAGATTCAAACAGGTCCCCGAGGCGTTTTGAAATTCATCCCAACTGTAGGCTGAGTGACCGTGATTGCATTCTCACCCACTGCTTAGTAGCACCTTGGAGAAATTATTCACTCTACCTTGATTAAAGCAATGCAAAACAAAACCCACGTAATTCTTGGGGAAAAAAAAGTATGTTTCAGAGGAAAAATATCAAGACCATTTGTAGAAAACTTCAAAAATTCAGAGAAACAGCCCTCTGTAAAGTACTGTGAGTTAGTAATTTTATAAAAATATTGTGTCCAGGGTGTTGAACTGTGGGAAGGGTTTTGGGACCTGTGCTCGCTGTTCTCACCTGGCAGTGCGCATTTCTCCCAATGCACTGCTTTTGGTTCTGTTCTGAAATCGTGAAAGCTCTTGGCCTTCACCCATGGCATGCACTGGTAAATAATTAAACCACCTTCCTCAAGGAAGACGAAAAAGGCAGGAACATACGTCTGAACAGCTGAGAGTAATACAGACGACTGATGGCTTCCTTTATCCCGTACCATACACTGTAAGTCAGCACTCTTCCAAGGCATGGGCTGGTAGCAAGGAGAAACATGTTAGTACTGACCCTGCCTCTCTCTCTCTCTCACTGTGCCTAACCTATAGATGCTCATGTGTTAACTCTGTAAACCTTTTCTGAATTGATCTGTATCAAGTCATAACTCTTGGTCCTAACTGGCCCCTTATCCTGAGTTCCCTGACGCACTTGGCATGTACAATTATATTCCTATATCCTGGTACCTGCTTGCAACACTATGTAAATAAGTGCACAGTGAAAGGCATTTTCTTACCCACAGCATTGATGTGACTAAATAGAGTATCTTTTTCATTGTGCCCTAAGTTCTGCTCTGGCTGTCAGTGCTGGCTGCCTTCCACAGGGTGTGGAGATCCAGTTGAGCTCCTCCTGGGTGCAAGCTGAGCTGCTGTGGACAATCTGCCTCTCACCACATTAGAGGCGGGTGAACTTGAAGATCTCTTGAGGCCGGCTGGTGTGGCAGGATAATCTAGAGCCCCAGTTTCCTGGTTCTCAGCTTCCAGCCCAGTGCTACCGTAGCTTGTGCCTGGGCAACATGTGGGATCCAGAGAAGTGTATGTTTTAGGGGAAATTCACTTTCCAATTGTGCTGTTTTTGTTTTTCAAAACAAGGTCTCTTTCTGCCACCCAGGCTGGAGTGCAGTGGTGCAATCATAGCTCACTGAAGCCTTGAACTCTGAGCTCACAGCTTCCTCCTGCGGCAGCCTCCCTCCAAAGTAGCTGGGATTCCTGAGAAGCACCTTCTGCTTAGAAGATGGGAGTGGGATGTGACTCATGCCCTGACTCTTTATTCTTACTGAGATTCAGGAGATGTTCTTGAATAAATTTTCTTCATTTGCTATATGTCCTTAGGACAAGGTAAAATTTTTTTTATTATTTAAATCATTTTCACCAATTAGGTCAGGTGCAGTGGCTCACACCTGTAATCCCAGCACTTTGGGAGGCTGAGGTGCGAGGATCACTTGAGCCCAGGAGTTTGAGACCAGCCTGGGCAACATGGTGAAATCCTGTCTCTAGAAGAAATAAAAAAATTAGCCGGACATGGTGGCGCACACCTGTAGTCCCAGCTACTAGGGGGGCTGAGGTTGAAGGATCACTTGAGCCTGGGAGATCAAGTCCACAGTGAGCTGAGATGGCACCACTGCAGTCCAGCCTGGGTGACAGAGCCAGACCATGTCTCAAACAAACGAACAAACGCTTTTCACCAATTCAATGGCTATTTTGTAGGGAAAGGTCTGCTGAATTCCTCACATGGCCATCCCAGATAGTCTACCCATAACTTCTGTGGTGCACTGATATGAGTATAAAAGCAGGTCACGGCCTGGCGTGGTGGCTCACCCCTGTAATCCCAGCACTTGGGGAGGCTGAAGTGGGCAGATCACGAGGTCAGGAGTTCGAGACCATCCTGGCAGATACGGTGAAACCCCACATCTCGACTAAAAATACAAAAAAATTACCTGGGCATGGTGGCGCATGCCTGTAGTCCCAGCTACTCAGGAGGCTGAGGCAGAAGAATCTCTTGAACCCGGGAGGCAGAGGTTGCAGTGAGCCGAGATCGCACTGTACTCCAGCTTGGGCAACAGAGCAAGACTCTGTCTCTAAATAATAAATAAATGGTCACATAGTACATTGTTCCATGAAAGGGTCACATATACAAAGCAGCCTGCAAATGCTGAAGGAGCCAGTAAACCGGAGAAGGCAGACAAATCCAGTGTGTCAGCATAGGACGATTTACTGGGTAAATTCACACACAGAAGCATGGTCCTGGGTGGCTGCAGACCTGTGGGTCTCTGCACTGCAGCCCCTCAGATCTAGGGCTTATCTCTTGGGAAAAAGTATATGTGCTCTGGAGGAAATGTGTAAGTGGCTATGAGTGTCACTACACCTGTGATTTCTGCAACAGCATCTCAGATTGTCTTGGAGGAAAAGTGAAACTTAAAATGAACAGATGTTCCTACCTAGAGAGTAATACATCAACTAGACATTTTGAAGGCATTCTCGGACTCAGGGAATAACGTCGCTCTGGTGCCCACACATATGTCTTAGCATATAAAAGTTATATATCAAATTTTAAGTCAAAATTACTTAAATAATACTGAGAAAATGTAACTAAATATTTTTAAAACATACCTTGGAGATGTTGTAGGTTTCATTCTAAACCACTGCAATAATGTGACTATTGCAGCAAAATAAGAGACATTTTTTTATACAAGCTATGTTTACACTATAACGTTTCCCTCCCTTCCTTCCTCCCTCCCTCCCTCCCTCCCTCCCTCCCTTCCTTCCTTCCTTCCTTCCTTCCCTCCCTCTTTTCTTTTTTTTTTTTTGAGACAGAGTTTCGCTCTTGTTACCCAGGCTGGAGTGCAATGGCGCGATCTCGGCTCACGGCAACCTCCGCCTCCTGGGTTCAGGCAATTCTCCTGCCTCAGCCTCCTGAGTAGCTGGGATTACAGGCACGTGCCACCATGCCCAGCTAATTTTTTGTATTTTTAGTAGAGACGGGGTTTCACCATGTTGACCAGGATGGTCTCGATCTCTTGACCTCGTGATCCACCCGCCTCGGCCTCCCAAAGTGCTGGGATTACAGGCTTGAGCCACCGTGCCCGGCCCCCTCTTTTCTTTTTTTTTTTTTGAGATGGAGTCTCACGCCCGTTGCCCAGGCCAGAATGCAGTGGTGCAATCTTGGCTCACTACAACCTCCGCCTCCTGGGTTCAAGCGATTCTCTTGCCTCAGCCTCCCGAGCACCTGGGATTACAGGCATGCACCACCACGCCCAGCTAATTGTTGCATTTTTAGTAGAGACGGGGCTTCACCATGTTGGCCAGGCTGGTCTTGAACTCCTGACTCAGGTGATCCACCCACCTTGGCCTCCCAAAGTGCTGAGATTACAGGTGTGAGCCACCGTTTCTGGCCGCTATAATGTTTTCTTTTGTGTGCAATAACATTATGTCTACAATACCAATGTACATGTAAATTTAAAAACACTTTATGGCCAGGCGTGGTGGCTCACGCCTGTAATCCCTGTGCTTTGGGAGGCCAAGGCAGGTGGATCACTTGAGGTCAGGAGTTTGAGACCAGCCTTGCCAACATGGTGAAACCCCATCTCTACTAAAAATAGAAAAATTAGCCATGCATGGTGGTGCTTGCCTGTAATCCAAGCTACTCGGGAGGCTGAGGCAGGAGAATCATTTGAACCCGGGAGGCAGAGGTTGCAGTGAGCCGAGATCATGCCACTGCACTCCAGCCTGGGCTACAGAGTGAGACTCCATCTCAAAATAATAATACAAACAAACAAAATAAAAAAACACTTTATTCCTAAAAACTGCTAACAATCATCTGAGCCTTCAGTGAGCCATGATCTTTTTGCTGGTGGAGGGTCTTGCCTCAATGCTGATGGTTGCTAACTGATCAAGGTGGTGGTTGATGAAGTTTGGGGTAACTATGACATATTATTAAAATAAGATGGCCAGGTGTGGTGGCTCACGCCTACAATCCCAGCACTTTGGGAGGCTGAGGCAGGTGGATTACCTAGGTCAGGAGGTAGAGATAAGCCTGGCCAACATAGCAAAACCCCATCTCTACTAAAAATACAAAAATTAGCCAGGGGTGGTGCTGGGCACCTGTAGTCCCAGCTACTTGGGAGGCTGAGGCAGGAGAATCACTTTACCCCCAGAGGTGTTTGTTTCTCCTTTGAGGTTATAATGAACATCGTCACACCACAAGTCAAGTCAGAAGTAGGACAGAGAACGCTCCCAAGGTTGGCTTGGTCATCCAAGATCATTAAAAATGGCTGACCCTAGGCAGGGCAGGGTGGCTCACACCTGTAATCCCAGCTACTCGGGAGGGTGAGGCAGGAAGATTGCTTGAACCTGGGAGGCAGAGATTGCAGTGAGCCGAGATCACACCATGGCACTCCAGCCTGGGTGACAAGAGAGAAACTCCATCTTAAAAAAAAAAAAAAAAAAAAAGGCTGACCCTATCAATATGTACAAAAATATAAAATATAAATAAAAAATACAAATTTCCTTTTTAAAGTATTTTTTGATGGAGGTGAATTTATAATAATAATCATAGTAATATTCCTATAACAAGTTTAGCCTTTTTAAAAATTCTACTTTAAGTTCTGGGATACATGTGCAGAACGTGCAGGTTTGTTACATAGGTATACATGTGCCATGGTGGTTTGCTGCACCCATCAACCTCTCTTCTAGGTTTTAAGCCCTGCATGCATTAGGTATTTGTCCTAATGCTCTCCTTCCCCTTGCCCCCCACCCCACGACAGGCCCCTGTGTGTGACGTTCCCCTCCCTGTGTCCATGTGTTCTCATTGTTCACTTCCCACTAATGAGTGAGAACATGTGGTTTGGTTTTCTGTTCCTGTGTTAGTTCACTGAGAATGATGATGTCCATCTTCATCTATGTCCCTGCAAAGGACATGAACTCATTCTTTTTTATGGCTGCATTTAAAGTTCTTTTAAGGAAAAAAGCAGGGCATTGGAAGTTTTGGTTCTTTTTTCCTCCCCTGTTACAAATTCTTGTGGTTTGGGTTGGGTGGCGGAGAGTGTGTGTCATCTGCGGGCGGCCTCTCTACTCGAAGGTGACCCCATTTAGATTCTGAGACGCGAAGTGGAGGGTGAATGGATCCCAGCCATTTTTTGTTGTTGTTGTTCCTTTTTTGCCATCTAGTGGTCCTCATCAATCTTCTGCTTCTTGGTATCAACATCATCATCCTCATCATCTTCAGCTGCCCACTTGCCAGTAGCAGACCAGCTTTCTCGTCTTCATCTCCATCCTCTTCCTCATCGTCACCTTCTTTCTCTTGTTCATCTACCTCATCGTCAGCCTCCTGCTCCCATTTTCCTCATTAGCGTTCCCATTAGCAAGGGCGTCTCTTCCGTTTCCGCCTCCTCCACAACTCCCTTCTTCCCCTCCACAACTCGCTTCTTCTCCTTTAAGTCCTTGATGGTGACATCAGAGCTGGTGTCTACGGCTGCGTCTGACATGAGAGCACTTGGGATTAAAAACATAGTGAGAGTTTGGGAACTCTGACGATAAAGCTGCCGGATTCCACAACGGAGGAGGAGGCATGGAGCCAGACGAGGAACAATGCAAAGATGGCTTTTCAGAGCAGCAGTGGGGGCTGTTTCCATTTCAACGATGTTCATAGGATCTTCACCAGGAGTAGATTCCATGTCAAGAAACCTTCTTTGTGCATTTATAAGAAGCAACTTATCCATAAAAATTTGATCATAAGACTGCAGCAATTCAGTCTGCAGCAATTCAGTCACATGTTTAGGCTCCACTTTTTTTTTTTTTTTTTTTTTTTTTTTTGATGGAGTTTTGCTCTTGGAGTGCACGGGCGTGATCTTGGCTTACCACAACCTCCACCTCCTGGGTTCAATCAATTCTCCTGCCTCATCCTCTTGAGTAGCTAGGATTACAGGCATGCACCACCACGCCCAGCTAATTGTATTTTTAGTAGAGATGAGGTTTCTCCATGTTGGTCAGGCTGATCTCGAACTCCTGACCTCAGGTGATCAGCCCACCTCAGCTTCCCAAAGTGCTGGGATTATAGGCATGACCCACTGCACCCATCCCAGGCTCCACTTCTAATTCTGCTTCTCTTGCTGTTTATACCACATGTTTAGTGATTTCCTCTACTGAAGTCTTAAATCCCTCAAAGTCATCCACAAAGGTTGGAACCAACTTCTTGCAAACTCTTGTTAATGTCAATGTTTTGACCTCCAGCCAAGAATCATGAATGTTCTTCAGGACAATAAAATGATGAATCCTTTCCGGAAGTTTTTTGACTTGCCCAGATCCATCAGAGAAATCACTACCTATGGCAGCTATAGCCTTACCAAATATATTGCTTGAATAGTAAGACTTGAAATGTAATATTGCTTCTTGATCCATGGGATGCAGAATAAATGTTGTGTTAACAGTCATGAAGACATTAATCTCCTTGTACATCTCCATCAGAGCTCTTGGGTGACCAGGTACACTGTCAGTAAGCAGTAATATTTTGAAAAGAGTCTTTTCTTCTTACCACTAGGTCTCAACAGTGGGCTTAAAATATTCAGCAAATAATTCTCTAAATGAGATATGCTATCATCCAGGCTTTGTCATTCCACTTCTAGAGCAAAGGCAGAGTAGCTTTAGCATGATTCTTATGTTTCATAGGATTTTTGGAAGGCTAAATAAGCACTGACTTCAATTTAGAGTCACCAGCTGCATCAGCCCCTAACAAGAGAGTCAGCCTGTCCTTTGAAGCTTTGAAGCCAGGCATTAACTCCTGTCTAGCTATAGAAGTCCTAGATGGGGCTGGGCATGGTGGCTCATGCCTGTAATCCCGGCACTTTGGGAGGCCGAGGCAGGCAGATCATGGAGTTCGAGACCAGCTTGACCAATATGGTGAAATTCTGTCTCTACTAAAAATACAAAAATTAGCTGGGCATGATGGTGGGCACCTGTAATCCCAGCTACTTGGGAGGCTGAGGCAGGAGAACTGCTTGAATCCAGGAGGCGGAGGTTGTGGTGAGCCGAGATGTGCCACTGCACTCCAGCCTAGGCAACAGAGCAAGGCACCATCTCAAAAAAAAAAAAAAAAAGTCCTAGATGACATCTTCTAATATAAGGCTGTTTTTCAATGACCTCAGCGAGATCTGGATAACATGCTACAGCTTCTATAGCCACACTTGCGTTTTACCTTGTGCATCTGTTACGAAGATGGCTTCTTTCCTTAGTCTTTGTGAACCAACCTCTGCTAGCTTCCAACTTCTTTCTGCAGCTTCCTCACCTCTCTTAGCCTTCATGGAATTGAGGAGCGTTACAGCCTTGCTGCGGTTTAGGCTGTGGCTTCAGGGAACATTGCATCTGGTTTGATCTTCTATCCAGACCACTACAGCTTTCTTTGTAACAGCAATAAGGCTGTTTCACTTTGTTTTTTTTTTTTTGTTTGTTTGTTTTTTTGAGACCAAGTCTCACTGAAACCTCCACTTCCCAGGTTCAAGCAATATTTGTGCCTCGGCCTCCAGGGTAGCTGGGATTATAGGCACACACCACCATGCCTAGCTAATTTTTTTGTATTTTTAGTAGAAACGGGGTTTTGCCATGTTGTCCAGGCTGGTCTCAAACTCCTGACCTCTAGTAACCTGCCTGCCCACCTTGGCTTCCCAGATTACAGGTGTGAGCCACTGCACCCAGCCAAGCTGCCATGCCCAGACATGTTTCACTGTCTTATCATTTATGTGTTCCATGGAGTGGCACTTTTAATTTCCTTCAAAAACTTTTCCTTTTCATTCACAGCATGGCTAACTGGTGCAAGAGGCCTAGCTATAGGCCTGTTTCAGGTTTCTGTATGCCTTTTTTTTTTTTTTTTTTTTTAAAGATGGGGTTTCACCATGATGGCCAAGCTGGTCTTGAACTCCTGAACTCAGGTGATCCACCCACCTCGGCCTCCCAAAGTGCTAGGACTACAGGCATGAGCCACCGCGCCGGTGTTCCCTACCTGGCCAGTGAGGCTCACAGGGTAACACGGGACATCAGCACAGGCAAGGTGGAGAATGAGATTCTAGCAGGAAAACTACCCTGGCCACCAGTACCCAGAGAGGAAGTGGTGAAAATTAACGGCCGCATTGCGCTCTAGTCAGCCTGCGATATTAACAACCAGTGCTGTGCCTCCTTCTGCAGAAGAAACACTAAAATTGGAACGACACAGAGAAAATCAGCATGACCACTGTGCAAAGATGATGTGTAAATTCATGAAGTGTTCCATATTAAAAAACAATAACAATAATACCAACTGTTGTGCTGAAGGTACCTTTGTGGAGTAGTTTTCTGGAGTGGCAGGAGACTTGATGGAGTCTTACTCTATTGTCCAGGCTGGAGTGCAGAGGTGCCATCTCAGCTCACTGCAACCTCCGCCTCCTGGGTTCAAGTGATTCTCCTGCCTCAGCCTCCTGAGTACCTGGGATTACAGGCATGCACCACCATGCCGGGCTAATTTTTTGTATTTTTAGTAGAGACAGGGTTTCACCATGTTAGCCAAGATGGTCTCCATCTCCTGACCTCGTGATCTGCCCGCCTCGGCCCACCAAAGTGCTGGGATTACAGGTGTGAGCCATTGCACCCAGCCCTTATTTTTAATGATTATTTCTCCAACACCAGGCACTGTTGGGGCCGTGGACATAGTAAAGAACAGAATATAGCAGTTCTGCCCTCATTGAGGTAAGCTCCTAGAACAGACAGTGGAGTATCAATTAAACAGATAATAATCCATGCTATGATGAAAAATGTGGCAGGCCTCATGGCTTACACCTATAATCCCAGCACTTTGGGAAGCTGAGGCAGGAAGATCGCTTGAGGCCAGGAGTTCGAGACCAGCCTGGCCAACATAGTAAGAACCTATCTGTACATAAAATTTTAAAAACTGGTTGGGGCCGAGCGTGGTGGCTCACACCTGTAATCCCAGCACTTTGGGAGGCTGAGTAGGTGAAGCACGAGGTCAGGAGTTCTAGACCAGCCTGGCCAACATGGTGAAACCCTGTCTCTACTAAAAATACAAAAAATCAGCTGGGTGTAGTGGTGGGTGCCTGTAATCCCAGCTACTCGGGAGGCTGAGGCAGGAGAATTGCTTGAACCTGGGAGACGGAGGTTGCAGTGAGGCAAGATCACCACTGCACTCCAGCCCAGGAAACAGAGTGAGGCTCCATCTCAAAAAAAATAAATTGGTTGGGTGTGGTAGTTCATGCCTGTGGTCCTAGCTGCTGGGGAGGCTGCGGCAGGAGGATTGCTTGAGCTGAGGGGTTCGAGACTGCAGTGAGCTATGACTGAACCATCGCACTCCAGCCTCGGCGACAGAGCGGGACTCTGTCTCAATAAATAAATAAGCATATAAGAGAAATGAAGTACAGAGTAAGAGCTGTGGTCAGGGAAGACCTCTCTGAGGGAGTGACTGGGTAAAAGGAGGAAGTAAGCCATGAGAAATTTATGAAGGCTGGGTAATTTATAAAGAAAAGAGGTTTAATTGGCTCATGGTTCTGCAGACTGTACAGGAAACCTGGTGCCAGCATCTACTTCTGATAAGCCCCTCAGAAGGCTTACAGTCATGGCAGAAGGCTAAGGGGAACAGGCGCACCACATGGAGAAAGTAGGAGTAAGAGAGAGAGAAGGGGGAAGTCCCTGACTCTTTTAAACAACCAGATTTCTCTTTCTTTTTCTTTTTTTGAGATGTAGTGTCACTCTGTCGCCCAGGCTGGAGTGCAGTGGTGCGATCTCAGCGCACCGCAACCTCCGTCTCCTGGGTTCAAGTGATTCTCCTGCCTCAGACTCCTGAGCAGCTGTGACTAAAGGCGCCTGCCACCATGCCTGGCTAATTTTTGTATTTTTAGTAAAGACAGGGTTTCACCATGTTGCCCAGGCTGGCCTGGAACTCCTGATCTCAGGTAATCTACCCACTCAGCCTCCCAAAGTGTAGGGATTACAGGCATGAGCCATCACACCTGGCCAAAAACATGTGTTTTGAGGCCCCTAGTTTGCCATTGTCCTGGATGTACCCTCCTTCTGACTGATTTTAAAAGGGATGTAAATGATTTGGTGTGTCTCGATAGGTCTCATTTTATTTTGCTTCAAAAGCTACAAACTACAGTTCTCATTGATTATTGTTCTGTTGAAAGAGTCTTTGTCAATATCCCCGGAGGTATATAGCTTGTGAAAATTGTATATAGCAAGATGAAAAGAATGGCCGCCCCCTTAATATTTACTTAGGGAGTATAGATAATGATCTCTTTGCAACTGATATTCTGCTTCAGAATATCATTTTTACCCAAATCAGACCAAAAAAGAGTTTGTTTTTTTCCTTCAGGTTTTCCATCTGGGCCCTTTGTACCCACCTCTTTTTCTATGGGACGATTTGCCAGCAGAAGACTCCATTTCAACAAACAGGTCTATAGAAAGAAGCAAACTAATTACACACAGCTTCTTTTATGCTTGTGGCCCAGATTCAGGAGTTTGAGAACAGCCTGGGAAACAGTCTTAGAAATGGAATCAAGTATTGACAGCGCTGTGATTGCTGAAGGCAGTCTATCTAGCCGCTAGCACAGCCCACGTTGGCAGTGTTCAAAAACCTTGTCTGAGTCAAAGAACAAGAAGGAGGCACCCCCAGGCCATCTCTCATAACCCTTGGAAGGTGCAGAAAAGCCTCAATGTCTCCATAGGAAGAAGCCCAAAGTTCAGAGGAAGGGCAGGGCTCACACGCTGCCCAGATGGCCTCTGAAGCAAACAGTGGGGCCCTCTCTCTGGGGATTGGAAACTGGATTTCCTGGTGGGGCAGGGAAGACTAGGCTGGCTTTTCTGAGCAGGGCTTCATCATAGAGGGGACACCATCTGTGCAGAGTCCACCCTATCCTCAGAGGCCAGCAGTAATAGATGGAACCAAGTCCAACCGGATCTGGGGCCTCCTCACCTTGGACCTCTAGCCAGCTACATTAAGAGACCTCTGCTGCCTTCTTCCTTGTCCTTCCATTCCTCCTGTCCACTCCACGGCAGCTAGGAAGCAAGACCTTGAAAAGAGGCAGGAGGTATCACTGAACTAGACCGTGCCCACTCCCCAATCTCCTCATTCTCCCAGCAAGCAGGGTGAGTGCCCCAGTTGTGCTGGGAAGAGGAGGTGAAGCACCGTGAACCTGATACGTGAGTGGGGCTTGAAACAGAGCTGGCCTGAGTTTTACCACGCCAAAGTGATGACTCTGCCCTAGATAGGGCTAAGGAACTGAAGGGATTTGGAAGCGGTGATGAGAAAATAGAAAATGGGCTGGGTGCCATGACTCACACCTAGAATCCCATCACTTTGGGAGGCCAAGGAAGGCAGATCACTGGAGCTCAGGAGTTTGAGACTGGCCTGGGAAACATGGCAAAACTCCATCTCTGGTTTTGTTTGTTTGTTTGAGACAATGTCTCACTCCGATGCCAAGGCTAGAGTGCAGTGATGTGATCTCGGCTCACTGTAACCTCCACCTCCTGGGTTCCAGCAATTCTCCTGCCTCAGCCTCCTGAGTAGCTGGGATTACATGTGCCCACCACCACGGATGGCTAATTTTTATATTTTTAATAGAGAAGGGGTTTCACCATGTTGGGCAGACTGGCCTTAAACCCCTGACCTCAAGCGATCCACCTGCCTTGGCCTCTCAAAGTGCTGGCATTACAGGCATGGGCCACCACATCCAGCCAAAACCCCATCTCTACAGACAAAAAAATCAGCTGGGCATGCTGGTGTGTGCCTTACTACAGGTACTTGGGAGACTGAGGTGGGAGGATGGCTTAAGCCCAGGAGGTGGAGATTGCAGTGAGCCAAGATCATGCCACTGCACTCCAGCCTGGGCAACACAGCCAGACCCCATCTCAAAAAAAAAGTAAGGCCGGGCACAGTGGCTCACACCTGTAATCCCAGCACTTTTGGAAGCCTAGGCGGGTGGATCACTTGAGGTCAGGAGTTCAAGACTAGCCTGGCCAACATGGTGAAACCCCATTCTACTAAAAATACAAAAAATTAGCTGGGCGTGGTAGCAGGAGCCTATAATCCCAGCTACTTGGGGGGCTGAGGCAAGAGAATCACTTGAACCTGGGAGGCGGAGGTTGCAGTAAGCCGACGTTGTGCCATTGCACTCCAGCTTGGGCAACAAGAGCGAAACTCTGTCCCAAAACAACTGCGCTTAGATTCCTGTCTGGGTACATTTCCCCTCTCCTTTCATGTCCCCAGTCCGCCTCTTCTCTGACACTGGCAGTTCTGTCCTGAGGCCCTCTTCTCAGACAGCCCTGCAGCGCTTTCTGCCACCCTTCTGTTAGGAACACTCAGAAGCCGAAGGTGCAGTTTCCTTAGCACCACGAAGGCAGGCACCTGTTATTGACCTTTTCCTGCAGATTCCTCATTTCCTTAGGAGCTGCAGCCCAGGAATCGTGTCATGGTAGGAATCCAGCCCCAAGACTGCAGATCAGTCGGGAGTTTCTTCTGTGAGAACATTCACAAAACTCAGAGGGAGGATTTTGCCAGTGAGTCAGTAACCCTGTGCCCTGCATGCATCACCGCAGGAAGGACTTGCCAAGAACAATTGCCTCCATGGATGAGCAGCCACCTGCACCGCCCGGGACAGAGCAAGTCCTCCGTGGCGCAGTGCATTCATCGTGTCATTAGAGTCTGAGTTGTTTTGCTGAGTCACTCTATGTTTATCACATATTTTGACACTTCTTTGACAGCCTGCGGATGCCCCAATTTTGTGTTTGCCCTGCTGGGGGTTACAGTAAATCAACAATATTAGATAAGAAAAAAACAAGGAAACCTCTCAAGCCCTAAAATACAACAAAATCTGTCATAAAATAACAGGTAAAAGGAAATTTGATGGTTATGCTGGATGAGCCACACCCAGAGCCATGCCGTGGACGCTGCAGGTCTCCTGCTCGCTCTACCTCGGTGTCACCTGGGTATCACAGAAACTCATCCACAGAGACCAGCCTGAAGCTGCCATTTCTCAGAATAAGGAGTCTCCAGGGCTGGAGGAGAGGCAGTCCTGGGATGCTTAGCTGGTTGCCACCGCAGTCCCCACTTGCATCTCACCCCAAACAATAGCACTGCCATAGGGATTCAGGTCCTATTTGTTTGTTTTTTTAGACAGAGTATTGCTCTGTCGTCCAGGCTGGAGTGCAGTGGTGTGATCTCAGCCCACTGCAACCTCCGCCTTCCAGGTTCAAGTGATTCTCCTGCCTCAGCCTCCAGATGCCCACAACCAC